TTGGGTCCTGGTAGCCAGACTGCCAGGGCTGCACGTAAGTCATAGCCTTCCTGGTGTGTCCACTGTCGAACTCTAGCCAGCGCACTCGACAAAAGTCCAGCTGGCTGCAGGCTCAGTGCCGCTGCTGGTCGCAAGCCGAGCGCTTCTTCTGAGAGCGGAATGTAAATGCGAAAGCGTCCTTGATAAGCGGCCGGATGGGTGAAGATGTCGGGATTCACGCAGGCATGATGAAGCGCGATGACGCCATTTTCCCAGTACTGCCGTAGTCTGCTCCCTGTGCGTAATTGCAAAGGACAAATTTCCCGTGCTTCGAAGGAGGCCGCGAGGCGAATGCCAAGTTGTCCCTGTCTCCCCTCATCCGCGGCCTGTTGGTCGCTGTCACGAAAGGCTTCGAGAACCGAAAGATGCGGGTAAGCCTGAGGACGATCGACCAGGCGCCGGACCACATAGAGCAGCACCTGGATGGGGAGCAGGGCACTGCAATACTGAAGTGGCGAGATCCGCCTGCTGGGACCACCTAGGGCCATTAATATAAAGCTGCCATCCCTCGCCATGGTATTGTCCAGCGTGGCCAAATCTGCATGCTGCCACTGCGCAACGATTTCGTCCGAAGGCCTTGTCATCTGCCAAGTGTTGCAGAGGTTCACACAGTTCCGCTAGGGCCGCACTGATAGCGATTAGAGGATTAACACAGAGTCGCCAGGCCTCTTCCTCGGAACAACATCGCATTCGCATGGCTCTGTCCGCAAAGCTGCAAATGGCGTACCCAAATTGGTCAACATTGACGCGTAGCGACCCCGCAGTTAAGGGCATTGGCAGAGAAAGGAGTGTATCGCAATCGTCCTGTGACGGTAGAATGTGCCGCAGATGAACGAGATGTTCGTCCGCAGTCATGTTTGGCGCCGGAGGGGGGGCCCCCGCCTTACACCTCCGGTACAGGTTGCGGGAACTAGTCGGGGCGGATTACGCTCAGTCATCGTTTCTGTTTGGTGATGCAGGCACTCTTTCCTGTGGTCTGGCGACCGCGAAATACGATAAGAGCGGGCATGCTGTCTTGCAGCCTCCCGTCAGCGCGGGAGCGGGAGTGCGAGAGGATCCCAGATTCGTCGATGAGCTGTACAGTGTCGGATGCCCGCGCGTCTTCAGTATAGCGGATTGGCAAACTGATCTGACTACACTGATCCAAGCTCTTGACACGGACCCCATCCACCATCGCCCGGCCTTGGTGGAGCTTGCTAGCGGTGCTGCCACCACAGATGACCCTACCACGCAAACAGTACAAAGAGCCTGAGCCAAATAGTAGCTGCCAGGGAGCGACGCCACAGCCCACAGCATGTCATGAGAGTCCACTGTTTGCTCCGTGGCACTCTGCGGGATTGGCATACGACCTAGTACGCTGCGGGCATGAGGCTCGGCAAAGGCGGCGTATAACCGTGTTGGTGGGCGGACTCCTTTGCCCTGCCAATCCCGCAGGCAATACAACTTGAAGCCAGGACCCTCATCGTCTGTGTCTAGCGTCACCGCATAAGGGTCTGTGGTGTCAAAGAGGAGGTAGAAGAACGTGGATTCCTGTGGTCTGCCCAGCCTGCCTGACCGCAGGCACCACAGGCTGTGAAAAGACTGCACTGTGGCCTGATCGTCTCGGATGTCCTGAGCCCAGTTGGGGGGAGTCTAGCAGAGGTTTGGGAGCCAGGGAGTCTCGAAACCTTGCTAGTCGGTGGCTGCGGGAAACTCTGCACCCTCCTCTCGTTTTTTCCTTCACTTGGTCCGTTGCACAGAAGGGTCTCTTCGCCTATCTCCGAGTCGGTGTGGAGACCACTACCGGTTCTTCCAGGGGACCGTGTCTTTCCACATGAAACCGGGGGGCACTGGGTGTTCCTTACACTTAGGGCAATCAATGCAGTAACCCAGGGCACAGGAGCAATGCTCGCAAATAAAGACTGGCTGAATGTGACTGTGGCCTTTACCTTTGTTGTGCTGGGTCTGTTGCTGTGGGGAGCCTTTGCCCGAGCCTCCGAAAATTGGGCCTTTAGGTGTTCTGGAGGGGGCCCAGGGACCTGAACCCCAGGCGCCCCAACTATCATTGTTATCCTGGTCGTCGTCCTTCTTCCAGTTGGTTCTGGAGTCGTGGTCGCGTTCCTTCCATTGGCCCTTGGCCTGGCCTTTATCTTTGGGCTTCTGGTATGTGTTGTAGTCAGACCATCCGGATTTCTGGGACCATCCTTGGTAAGAAGATCGGTGACTGCTGCCTTTGCCCATCTGGGGAGTCCATTGGTCCTGGCGATCGTTTCGGGATTTGGTTTGGGGCTTACCTTTTCCGGCTCCCTTAGCCCTAGGGGACCCTTTGCCGTAATCCTCAAAACCCTGATCTAAGAAAGCCTGGGCCGTCAAGGCGGTCATGCCGCCAGCGCCTTGAAAAGGCAACATGGGGTGAGACTCAAGCATAGAAGCCAGATCATCCGAAATGCGTACCGGCATCACCGTGTAAGGGAAAGCCTGCGCATGGGAGGCAGTAGTGAGGTCGAAGGCCTTGTCGTAGGAAGCGCGTTGCACAGTCGTGCGGTCAGAAGTGGCGCGCTTGAGCGCCTGTGCCAGAAATAAGGTATCCCGAAGTCTCCGCGAAAATTTTGCATGCCATCTTGTCAGGGCCGCGTCGTAGAATCTGTCATGTACCAAAAGCAAGCATGAGTAGCGGCGCGCAAAGCGCGGATCAAGCACGTAGCTCACCTGCCCAATAAGTTGCTTGGGCTCCACCCCCTTAGGGGTCCAGATCTGCAGTGTCTGCCTCCAGGTCTGTAGGGAGGCGTGGGTGTCTTCTCCAGTTTCTTCCACATAGAGCTCGGCGAGGACGTCAAGTAGAGCATAATACGGTTGCATAGCCAATCTGTCTTCCAATGGCTGATCCTGCTCAATCCTGATCTTGTGGTCTTGCTGCTGGGGGTCGCGCCAGTAACGGCGACCTTGTCTCATCTGGTCCCTAAACTGGGCAGCTTGCTGTTCAGTGAGAAATTCCAGGCGAACAAGTGAAGAGGCGGAGGAAACCATATGATTGTGCATTGCCGCCACCTGGTCCCATTGGAGGCCGGCGGCTTGCAGATAATACCCAACAATTGCGTCCAGAGTCTTCTTGTTGAAAATTGGCGGTAAATCCAGCAAAAGTATGGTTTTGTTGGCCTTGGAACGCTCCAGCACCTGCAGTTGGCTGGAATGCCTGTCCAGGGTATACTGTGTCATCGCGAACTCATGTTGTGCCATCTTGTAAAATTGATCGCAGCACATCTGCAACTGGTCCAGGGAAGGAAGGATGCTCTTCTGGTGGTACTGCAGCATGGCTTGCTGCACGTTGTCCTCTGCCGTCAAGTTTGGCATGGCTCTTTCAGTAATGCTTCCAAAATCTCTCTTCTTCGTGGTAGGCTGCTCCGACCATGTGCCATCTGTGGGATTATAAAGTCTGTCTGTTGTGTGGATAGCCAGAAAATCTCGGCGGGAGCTCTTGCTGCTCCGAAGCTTGTTCTGCAGTTCTGGGTCCAGGTCCGCAAAGTTGATGTCGAGGTCCACGAGCTTCACCTCAAATTCGGCCATGTCTTCCTCATCATCGGTCCTCTGCTTCTTTGGTGGCGAGGTCGGCGCGGCGTGGGCCTTTGCCTCTGCCCTCTGCTTTTGCCATTCTCGAAACTGTGCCAGCTCATCCTGGGCAATCTCATCGCCGCCTGTGCGCGGCGCCAGCTGCGGTAGCGTTGGCCCGGCGGCCATCGGCTCACTGGGTGCGCTGGGCACCTCCGTCGGCTCCAGCGCGGGAGCTTCCTGGGACTCCTGCTCCTCTTTCTTGGCCATGGCTACGTCGGCCATGGCGCTGTAAAAATTCTAGGAAAAAACTTACTGGGAGGGAACACCAGCTAGGACACCGAAACTGTGAAGAAAGCTGTGAAGTAAAGCTGTGATGCCACACTGCCAAAGGCGGGGGCGGGACTGCGGAAGTGAAGTCCTAGTCCTAAAAGTCGAAACTTTGAAGCACTCGAGCGCTCCTAGAGCGCGGGCTGGGTCAAGGACCCGTCACTGTGCTTGTGCCAAACGCCTAAGCCTGTCCGGTAGAAGCCTCAAACCAGGGCGGTTCCTGGCGATCCACGACTTCATGTGGTGATTGTGGCTGTCGGACATTAAATGAGCCTCCGTCGCGTGTTTCCCGCAGACCATGCAGTACTCGCAGTAGTTGCGGTTGTTGTGGCTCAGGGCCTGAGGGCTTGACCACTTCCCCTCTGGGGCAATATAAGGAGGGGTCCAACTGAAGCTGTTGACCCGGTCCGCGAGGCTCACCCCAGTCGCCTTTGGGGCAGGTGGCCCCCCTACCTCCTCGTCGGAGGATATCTCCATTGTTTCCGCCCGGCCTGTCCAGCCCTTCTTCGCACTGGCCTTCATCAGCTAAACCCTTAAGGCTCAAGCTTGTGCCTTGGCGATCTGCGGAAACCCTCTGTTCACCTACACTGTCGCTCGAACTGCACACACCGTCATGCACAACCGACCGACCAACCAACCGACCATGCACGCCAAGCACACGCTCTTCAGAATCACTGCACGCAGGTTGCACTACAGAAACTGGCTGCACTGAAGAATCACTAAAACCTGGCTGCACCCACTGGCCTCGATCGGAAGATGTGGTCCCCGAGCGCAAAGGTGAAGAAGATGGATCCACGGCACTCGATTGCAAAAGCTTTACCACTCTAGCAGGCAACTGACCTACCAACTGCACTCCAGGGCTGCCGCAAGACGATTGACCTACCAACTGCACTCCTGAGCTGCCGCAAGACGATTGACCTACCAACTGCACTCCTGAGCTGTCGCAAGACGACTGACCTACCAACTGCCCAACAGAGTCCTCGCAAGCATGTGGCAAAACACTCGGTTCAACATGCGTTGTTTCATGCTGTTGTCGTGAAAAATCATGCCCATGCTGTGAAAAATCATGCTCATCGTGCGAAAACTCATGCTCATGCTGTTTCTCAGGTGAGGAAAACTCAAAAGACCTACCACTCGACAGACCGCAAGACGACGAGACACTCGCAAGCGTGAGCTTCGCGGAAGAATCAGCCATCACACTCTGAAGCCATGTGCAGTCGCCGAACACTGCTGGAAGCAGCGTCACCTCCTTACGTTCCGCTGTTAAGAGACCCCGGTAAAGGGTAGGCTTCCAGCCTCTCCAACAGAGGAGGTTGAGGTTTATCAGGTTGTGTTTGATTTCGCTGCTAACTACCGCTTCTAGACGACAGGTGCACGCAAAGGTGCTCAGAACTCCTCCTCGCTGCTCAAAGTGTCGAGTGGTGAGAAAATTCACCTCGATCGTCGCGTGGGTGTCGCTTCCCACTTCCACCAGGTCGCCGGTGGCAGTCTGGCACACAGTCTTCGGTCGCTTCTTTCTTGACAAAACCTTGACGTGTCCACTCTCAAGCGTCGCCTGGGAAACCACATGGTACGAGCTCCCAGAGTCGAGAAGCCAATAGATCTTCTCTCCCGACTCAACGAAGGAAGGTGCGACCATGGGCATCGCAAAGTATGCTCCCTCAAGGAACGTTCTGACGCCCTTCTCTGTTCCCTTCCCAACGTCGCCCTTCGTAGTGGGCTGGTTGCTCGGCGCCTTCGGCGCAGCCTTGGCAGCTGTAGCGCTCCCCGAACTCTCCGCAGCACCTGTCGTCACAGTGGCGTTGGCCTCGTGGGGGGAAACCGCAGCAGCTTGCTTCAGCCAACAGTCGCGGGCCCAATGTCCCTTCTTTCCGCAGTTGTGGCAAACGTCGGTCTTCTTGGCCTTGCTCTTGGCACGTGCAGCTGAACCCTTTCCGGGCTTCTCCTTCTCCTTGTTGCCCTTGTCTGCTCTCTCCTTTGCCCTTTCCTTTGTCTTTACCTTTCCCTTTGTCTCCTTTGCCCTTCTTGCCTTTGTCGCCTTTCCCTTTGTCACCCTTGTCGCCTTTTCCAGCACCGAACGCGTTCAGGTTGCCGTGGTGGTGCTCCTTCTGGAAGTTTAGCACTCGAAGCTGCTCGTCGTAAAACTGCAGCTCTTGCAACATGGCATCCAGACCGCTGGTGGTCTGGCGCAACAAAAGGTACTTCTTTGCGTCCTCGTCCAGGTGCTTCAAGACTCCCAGAACAGCTTCTTGCTCGTGGACCTGAAGCTCAGGGTATGTTTAGAGCGCTGTGCTAGAGTGCAGGACTGACAGACAAGTCAATGGAAGATTCTTTGAACTGATCAGTGTGCGATGCATGTCAACACAAGCTTTGCGTTGGCAAAAACCTTGGAAAATGTTGCACTGCAAAGTAGAGGTTTCCGACGTCCAACGTACTCTGCTGAACTGGGACGGCGCTTTGCTCTGACTCGTCCAGCTTCTGCGAACCGGTCGTCAAGCAAACAGAGTTCAGATGTAGCTCTCTGCCCTTCTAGAGCGATTCCCGTGTCAACTTCCATTGGCGGGACCAGAGGTGTCACCCGAAGAGCTTGCAGTCGCGGTCGCAGCTGCACTGGCACTCTTTTTTATTTTGATTTCATACGAATTTTCGTCCATACATGCTTGCATGTTACATTGTTGTTGTTGCTGCCCATTAGCCATTTAGTCTGAAACCTTACACTTGACATGTGCATGTTCGGCCAGGAGGCTGTTGTGGTGGCGTTCCCAAACTGAAGTACTGCGTCTGCAAGTTTAAGTGCTTCAAATCAACAACTGGGAACCTCAGGAGGTTGGAACGAAACCATTTCGCATGTTTTCGAAACCTTATTTTGTCGGTCTGTTGGTCGGTCGCCCTGTCGGTCGTCGTCCGAACCTGAGCTTTTCGGACGCTTGGAGTGTTTTGTGAATCTTCAAGTCTGCTTGCTTTTCGCCAGAGCTACAGCGTGATGCCTAAGAGGCATCAGGAGCCAGTTCTAGTATTTAGAGAGCTGAAGCCAAGAACAGCAGAGTGAAAAGTTTGCCCGCTTTGTCTGAGTGCTGTGTGTGAGAGGCCCAAAGGCCCCGAAGGTTCCCTAGAGGTCCCTCGGACTAACGTGGTGCGGCTTCGTGCTCCAGGTGCGTGGCGCGGGGTGAATCGGGTGCTGATTGGGTGCTGAATCGCAAGGTGCTGAATGAGATGCTGAATTGGTTGCTGAGTCGGGTGCTAAATCGTGAGGTGCTGAATTAGGTGCTGAATCGCGCACGTGGAGCGGCAGACGCGACGGCGCGAGGTGCCAGACAGATGCCAGACAGGTACCAGATTTTTTTGCGGTGCCGGACGCGCGCCTGGAGCAGTACCGTTGAGAGTCGAAAACTGCACTCCGTTGCAGTTTTAGAGCCGATGAAGCCTCCGTCCACGCCTTTTTTTGAGAACCATGATCTCTCAACTGCAACGCAGCATGGGATACGAGACTCCCCACAAAGAGAGTATCGCGGCACTTTTCGCCTACTCTCCTGCTTGCAGACATTCCGCTGGGGTTAGAAGTTCAGCTGTCGCTTGCGATTTAAGCTGCCGGGTTTCTGCACAGCCCTGTGGCGTCGTGCCACAGCCACGGCTGGAATCTCCGCGCGGTTGTGCGGGAGACGGAACGTTGGCCGGCCTCTACGACATTGAAAAAATACAAGCTCTCATGCAAGCATTCGGTGCCGAAAACAGACTGCCAGAAGTTGTACTGTTTTCGCTGGCACTGATAGAGCACTGTGTTTGAAGGCCGCCGCCACACGCATCACACCCAAAATTTGGTCATTCTGAAAGTGGGCTGCACTAGGATCCTGTCGCAAGGCTCTTTCCTCTGCTGCATCCAGCAATGTACAGAGCAGTCATTCCATTCTGTCTTGTACCGCCCACCTTTCTGGACATTTCCCCACCTCTGCTCTTTGCCATGAGTGGCGAGCCGCAGCAGAACGCCACAATGGGTGAGAAGTAGGTTGTGGCAGTGGCCTGGCTTTGTCCCGTAAGTGCCTTGATTCTGTGGTTAACCTTGAGCTGACATGAACTGCCAAGATGTGTCGGCTGTGCTGTGTTCTGAGTGGCCCTGTGAAAGGGCCAAGGCTTTCTTTCAAGCTGCGGACAGGCATGCTGAGAGTTCTGTGCAAATGCTCCCAAGCTGTAAATAATGTATGGGCACACTGATTTGCTTTGAAAAGTTGTGTTCATGCTGTTCCGGTTTCTCACAACTCACATGCTTGGCTTGAATCAACCAAACACCGCAACGCAGCTCTGCACAGGCACAGCACAGACATGGCAAACTGTCAAGCTGCCGCTGGGCCCTCGCACACTTGAAAGCGCAGGAAGCGAGAGACAGAGAGAGAGACGTCACTGCACATGCCTGCAAATATCAATCTTTCAAATTCCCAATCCAAACACTCCAAATTAATTAATATTTCAAAAACTGGAAAGGATAAAAATCTGGAAATAGTTGCATTACATTAGGTGACATGTTTCGGAATTTCACATGCAAATTCACTACGTCTGGTCAGCTTTCCACTGTCCTGTCTTCGAGTATCATTCATTCTCGCCCGGAAGTCACTGCAAACCACATTCGAGCCTGGTGAGCACACCAGCCGCGAAAAGCATCGCACTTAGCTTTGCCAGAAACTCGCTTTATTTTGACTGTTCTTGGTTTCGTGATTTGCCGGATGCACAAAAGAAAGCGGATGCTTTGTGTCACACGATACACTGAGCCTGCACCCCAGTTCGACAACTTTGCGTGGAGGAACCAGCTAACTGTGGGATGCTCTGATGTGTCCTGCGTTTTGTTGTTTTCCGGGCCTGAAAATGGGCTTGTAAAGCTTATCGAAAGTGTGGCAGGGTAGAGAAGCCCTGGACGGAGGTTTTCAGCCTGGAGAAGTGTTGGGAGGAACTTGGCAAGGCTGCAGTGCAGAGTAGTGGGTAGACGCCTTCAAATAGTGCCCGAATAGCGCCCGAAATGGTGCCCGAACTGGTGCCCGAATAAACCCTCCTTTGCTCAAATGTTTTTTCGCGAAGAAAAAAGAGATTTTCTTTCCTTTGCAAAAGGAAATTATTTGGGCACTATGAAGAGTTCATTCGGGCACTATTTCGGGCACTATTCGGGCACTATTCGGGCACTATGCCAGGTGGAGGCTTGGGCGGCATTATCTGGAAGGCTAAGGGTTGGAAGGCCAGGACCACCAACCCTGGAAATGCGCACGAAGAATAGGAATTTGTGCTGCAGGAGGCATCTGCGGGGCAGGGGGGGTTTGGGGAAGAATCTGCAGAGTTTAGAGCAGGCAGGATTTGGGGAAGGGTCCGCAAGCAAGCAAGCGTTTGGAGGATACACGAAAAACATGGGTGGCATGTGCAAAAAATTGTAGGGTAGTCTATCTACAAGTTTACGGGGGCCTTGGCCATGCGAGGGTTTAGGGAAAGATCAGGCAGGACTTCGGGGAGGATCTATAACGAGACTTTATGAAGGAGTTATGGTTTTTATCGAGTGCAGCAGCAGTCAGTCATTGACAGTCTTCTTGTTTGCATATTCAGAAACCTCCCCCCGCTCCCTCAATTTCAATGTGTGCCGCAATGTGTGCCGCAATGCTCATTGGGCGCTTCTATGTAAACATTGAATTTGGGGGGAGCGGGGGATCTGGAAGGTTTCAAGATTTGTGGACAAACAATTCCAAAATTGTACTATCGCGCGAGGCCATTTTCAGTGTTCGAAAAACCACGAAAACTGTAGGACGCATTAAGGTACCCCCATAGTCAGTTGCCGCCTTGCTTGCCATGCTGTGGTATTTATGACAAGTAGTTGTCATGACATCATGGTCAACAGTCTCAAGCTGACCACGCACAGACCCCGCGCATAGCTACAAGGTTGTTTTTCGAGCAAAGTTCCAATCCAATTGGGAGCGTCTTTGTCCAAAGGTTTTCGATCCATTCTAGAGCCCATTTTCGAGCTCCAAAAACGAAGCCCAAAATGGGGTCTCCCCTAATAGTTTCCAATCAGGCGGTCTCAGCTTTGGGAACCAATTTTTGGCCTCAAAATGGGGACCAACCCGAGCTCAAAAACTGCGGAATTCTGCGAGGGAGACGTGTTTGAAGCTTTACCAAAGTTTTGCTCGACATGCGGCGACCAGTGTCGCGAGCGACCACGTCTGTTGAAATCAATCAAAACGCTCCGTTGCTACCCTGGTGATTGGGCTTGTGCTGCTTAAGCACCGTTGTTTGCCACTGTAACTGTGGGGGTACTCTGATGTGTCCTACGTTTTTTGTTGTTTTCCGGGCCCCGAAAATGGGCTCGTAAAGCTCGTCGAAAGTGTGGCAGGGTAGGGAAGCCCTGGACGGAGGTTTTCAGGCCTGGAGAAGTGTTGGGAGGGACTTGGCAAGGCTGCGGTGCATGAATAGTAGACGCCTTCAAATAGTGCCCGAATAGTGCCCGAATAGTGCCCGAAATAGTGCCCGAACTAGTGCCCGAATGAACCCTTCATAGTGCCCAAATGATTTTTCGCGAAGAAAAAGGAGATTTTCCTTCCTTTACGAAAGGAAATGTATTTGGGCACTATGAAGGGTTCATTCCGGCACTATTTCGGGCACTATTTCGGGCACTATTCGGGCACTATTCGGGCACTATCTGTTTCGCTTCTGATGCTGTTTTATGTACTTCCACAAATCCTTGAGGTTATCCAATGGTTCCTTGTCCATGATGTGTCGACACAACAATTCCATCACTGATCCGAATAAATGCTGGCAGTAGCCCAAGTACTTCGTATGCATGAGATCGTAGTGCACGTGACAGGCCGTCAACCCTCCCTTGAATAACTTGCATATTGTACGGCTGCCCCATTGCGTCCAGGATTCCGGCTCCCACTGTGTATCCCTGGAAGGAGCAGTCTCCGAAAAATCATGCCAGGTCGTAGGTCCGGTCCTGCTGCACCTACACACAGGGCGGTGTATAATACAGTATACATATACGGTCCACACACACACAAAGCTTTCGTCAGTCCAGCCTGCACAGTGCACAGGGGTAATTCGCAGTATGACTGGGCAGGCCAAGGAATAGCCTGTAAAAATCCATGTCCCCACTCCATGCACAAACCACGGCCTTCCAGCCGTTGGCCAGTGTCTTTCCGGCTTTTTCCTGTTCCCTGCTGCCTGCACGGTATTTGATGCCCCTCCAGTCCTTTGAAGGATACACTCCGGTCCACATCGCATCTAATGTCCACTGCCGTACGGAGAGAGAATCGCGGGCGGGGTCCTTTGTCCAGGTCCTGTTCCATCAGGCCCACACGAAATTCTGGTTCACCTTGGTGTTTTGTGGCATCTGGAACACAGAAAACACAAAACAACTTTTTACAGTCTTCTAGACTATATATGTATACATATATAGCAAGTGCAGAATGCAGAGAACACCTTTTTTCTCCACGTGGGCCGTTCTGCTCTCGCACAAAACACCTTGCATCCACGCATGGTGCATCAGTCCCTGATAGAGCCTATTGGTCCGCAGTCCATAGTGCATTGCCCTTTTGCACCGAACCAGAACCACAGGGCTTAGATCCACAGGGCTTGTTCGACAGAGTTGGCGTTTTTAGACTTTTAAAAACTTTAACATACAAACAACAACTTTTCAAGACGTTTAAACACTTTAAAATGCAAAGAAACGTTTAAATACTTTTTAAAACTTTAAAAAAAGACAAACAAACTTTTGAATAATTTGAACAACTTTAAAATACAAAAAAACGTTTAAAAACTTTAAAATACAAATAAAACAAAAATAAATACTTTGAAAAACTTTAAAAGACAAAAAACTTGTAAATACTTTTAAATTTTTTTAAAAAAATAAGAACCAAATAAATGATTTTAAACAAAGTTAAAAAACAAATAAATACGTTTAAAAACTTTCGAATACAAAAGCCACAACTTCATTTTTAGATTTTGAATTATTGTTCCAGGAAGACGAAGATGAAGAAGACCTGGTTGGGGTTAGAAGGCAGAGTGCCATAGTGTTCGGGTCTGAGGGTAATGAAAGGGTTAGGGTTAGAGTTTCAGGGTCTTGAGTATATTCAGGGTTTGGGGTTAGAAGGCAGAGTGCCATAGTGTTCGGGTCTGAGGGTAATGAAAGGGTTAGGGTTAAAGTTTCAGGGTCTTTAGTATATTCAGGGTTTGGGGTTAGAAGGCAGAGTGCCATAGTATTAGGGATTTATTCCCGGAACTCGATTCCGCAATCGAATCATAATCAATGCAATCGTATATCCATCGCTGTATTCCCAAATACACTTATCTGGGAAGACGAATATAAAACAGCATATGAAATTGGAGGCACAACGTCAGGATTTTCGCACATGCGATCTGGGATTCGAGCATTCGTGAAACACATCCTGCATGACATAAGCAACATCGCATAAACCGCCCCATTGGGCAGTGACCATTGTCACGAAGCGAGGACCATATCCCCGGGTTGGGCGGGCGGGTATAAAATTTGCCCATTCAAGGAGGCGCTCCCTCCCACCCACCCTTGATCAAGAATTGCAAGTCATAATATTCGTTATGCCAAGAGCATAAGAGACATCATGCAAAGGAACTTGCAAAAGAATGGTTCAAAATAAGTGATTGAAAAACGGGATTGCGAAATCAAGTTTTTGGCCAATGCCAAAAAGCATCGTCCGGGTATAAAACATTAAGAGCTTCGCTCCGCTCCGTTCTAAATCTGCTTATTCCCGGAACTCGATTCCGCAATCGAATCATAATCAATGCAATCGTATATCCATCGCTGTATTCCCAAATACACTTATCTGGGAAGACGAATATAAAACAGCATATGAAATTGGAGGCACAACGTCAGGATTTTCGCACATGCGATCTGGGATTCGAGCATTCGTGAAACACATCCTGCATGACATAAGCAACATCGCATAAAACGCCCCATTGGGCAGTGACCATTGTCACGAAGCGAGGACCATATCCCCAAGTCAAGACGAGCGCAGTAATTCGCCCGTGGCAAAACAAGCAGGATGGTCCCGGATCGCATGTTCGCACATCGGAAAAATCCAGCAGCCCCTCGACGGGGGATCAGCGGGATTGGACTGAGAAGGCACACGAGCATACCACCCAATGCAAGGCCTGGCATCGGCCTTTTCAAGATGTATAAGCAAAGTCCTCCACAGCTCGTCCCTAGATGTGCAATTGATGGTAGCGGAGAGCACTCCCACGTGATCGATGAAGTAAAGCACCCTTCGATCGTCGAGGAGTCGACCCCAGACGAATCTCGCGAGCACTAAAGCATACAACTCAACAAGCCCTATAAGGTGCTTCTTGCCGCTCTCGGCCCATAGGTCGACCAGGGAGTCACTCAGCGTGACCCCGAAGTATCGGACCTTTACAGCCCCATTCCAAGAAGCATAAAGTACTCCCCCAACGGCGCAGAGCGATCGAGCAGCACCAGGCTCACATGCGCCATCAGTGTAAACAACAAGTGAAGGTCCAGAGCTTCCAACCTGTATGCGCCTGGGCTCGCCAGCATCCATGCGCATCTGCAAGACAGCAAAGGCCTCGCGGTCAGTAGAAGAAAGTAGATGAACGCCAGAGCCTCGCGAGAGCTTCCTAAGCGTGCTCAAAGCCAGTTTGCCCCTGCGGCCCATGATTTGGGAATCGGCATACTGAATCCTTCCAAACAAGCTGTCGGCTTCTCTGACCACCACCTGGCCATCCGATAGGACTTTAGCGACCGACTCGGAAATTTCGCGAGCCCTGTCAGGCTTGTTGGCAACAGTGACGCAAGAAAAATCCTTAGCCCTAAGGTCCAAGCGAACCCCCAAGAGATCGGCCACCGAAGAAAAAGGCAACTCCTTGTCCTCTGAGCAGATCACGCCCAGGAGGCGCATGAGCTTGCGGATCGTCTTCTCGGTGTTGGCCGAAAGCATACTCACATCGAGAACTGGGAAGTCGTCATAATAGTTACAAGCCAGGCACTCCAGCTCAATAAGGATGCGGTGAATCAAGCGGGCAACGCGATTGAACTGCCCTACGCTCGCGAGCGAGCCGAAGGGTAGGGTATGTGAAATGAAACCGACGGCTTGCCCGTCGGAGGGCCGCCGGAGGCTGACCACACACCTCTTGCTGTCACATGGCCTTATAGCATACTGTTTGTAAGCAGACTTCAAATCCACGCACTTCAAGACTGGGCGCGCGGACTCAGGCCGCGTGCGCCACACGGTATGCAACGGGCCGCTGATCACTTCACCAGAAGAAAGACGAAGGTTGACAAATCCTCGATCAACGATGGATTGCATGAGCCTCGATGTTATCCAAAGGAGTTCGTCCATCGCACGCAGGTCAATCTTTTCTGCCACTTCCCAGGACGAGTTGACACTGTTCTCGGACAAATCGTCAATGCACCTCAGCTTCCCTCGTTGGAAAATCGCGAACCTCCGTACAGGTATCCAGTGCGGACCCAAAATCTCAGTGAGCTCCTGGTAGCTATATGGGCCGCTCAGCCAGGACTTCTTGGAGTAAACTCGGCATCGGAATCCTCAGGTTTTGCAGATGAGATTTTGGCCCACAGGGCCGGTCGCAAGAATTTCGATCTTTGATCAAGCTCTTCCTCAGTGAACTCCGAAGGCTTAAAGGATGGTGCGAAAACCCCCGTGACAGGCGCGGAACCCACTATGCCGAACCCTTCCTTAAGGTCCTTAAAAAGATCTTCGTCTGGCCAGGCAAGGGATTTGGCGATACGATCCAGCAACAGCAACCTTTTGCCAGAAAGGACCGCACCAACTCTGGGATCAAGCGAAGCATGAAGAGCTCTCTCAGGCTCGGCCAGTTCATCGGCCCACGCAGACCACTTGGTAAGTAGGTCAAGCCGGCGTCGCACGACGGGCAAGGGACCGTCGATAAGCAGCCGCCCCAAATTCCTGATGAGACCATCAGGCACGTGTGCAAAAGCGTCGAACGGATGCTCGAGGCGCAAGCTGGCAGCAACGAACTCGTCAGGAGTCCGAAACACGCCAAACGTGGCGGTGGCAGGGGTACTCGGCAAAGGGGAGAGGGACTTAGGCTTAAGAGAACCACCCCCAACAAAAACCGAGCCTAAGGAGCCTAGCACCCTTGGGAACGGACTGCAACGCGGTTTGCAGGCACTTTTTGTCATCCAGCTGCAGCTGGGAGCAATCAGCGACGTGCACGTTGACCATGTACTTGAACTCGGGCATAATCGGCTGCATTTTTGTGAGCTTAGCTTGTTTGTGCACGGCAGGATTAGCATCTGGCAACCCCGATTGGGGGGAAACAAGTAAGTCCTCACCAGCCGCCTGCAAGCGCAGACTTTCGGCAAGGTGCTCCGCATACACCTTGCCGAGAACAAAGGCCTTGTCAGGGCAAGAGCAAGAGCAAGCACGCAAATCAGAACAGGCCAGAACAGTGGAGGCCACGCGAACAATCTTGCAACCGAGGCCGAGTGAGCATCCAGGCCCAACGCACGAAGGCAAAGAGTCACTGAACGGCGATCGTTGCCAAGCCGAGTTATCGGCTGGCCGCAAACGGTGAGACCAATCTGTAGCTGTAGCACGTGAGAAACAAAAGATGTCACATGATCAAGTTCTGCAGAATTAAGGGTCTGATCAAGACACATGTGGACATGATAGACCCGGTGAGCCATAACAAGGCGCCGCAAATATTGCCAAGTGGATTGTCGTTCGGGCCTGAGCTGCAACACCTTATGCTTGACAGGGCCCGCAGACTGGGACCCATAACAGAAAGTTTTAAACCCAATCTCGGCACACGCATGGCCCACGGCACCTCGTCCGCAGAAGAGGTCGAGGACAACAAGCCGGGAAGGCTTCAGCACTTTCAGGGGCTCATGAGTGACAGAGCTCCTGATGTCAGGTAGAGGGCCCACTGGAGACGCGGGCATCACAGCATCAGCGCTGGGAAGGGCGAAACCACAGGACTGGAGCTGAGACAACACCTCAGAATCGGAATCGCAAACGCCCTTGGTGCTGAAAGCTATGAGCATAACCCGACGACCCTGAAAAGGCGCCACGGCGTGGCAGCCGTCGCGAGCATTGAAAGCCCAGGCACCCCGACTGAAGTCGAGGTCGCAATCACCGGCTCGCAGTGAGCCACCTGAAAAGTGCGTCAGAGGTATCAAGAGATTCAAAGTCGGGCCGTTGTTGGGATCAGCGTGAGGTTGACTTTCAACCGAGTCAGAGATCAACAGACTTGAAAATTTGTGCGTCGGAAGGACATGCAGGACGCAAGCACACAAGTATCGGCAAACATTGGGATAAATTCGGGTGAAATGCCGCAAACCTTTGATAGGACCGTGAGAATACGACCCCACCGCGAAGACTGAGCCTTTGGCTTGAGAAAGTCGTGTGATATCAGCCTTTGGCAGAAGGTCGAAGAGAGAAAGCACACTAGCTGCATCGAACAAGAGTTTGCGGTGCAAATCAGAGGCAAGGGCTTCAGGGCCTCCAAGTCGAGGCGCCTTGCCCGGCGACTCACGGTCGCTGTCATCGGACTTCCTTTTAGGAGGATCCGCGGTGGCACAATCACGCGCTCCAACAGAAGGTTCACCGCCCACGGGCGAACAGGCATCATGCATTCTCTCATTGAGTGAAGCACAAGCAGCAACCAATGTTGCAGCAGGCCCCACAGGGCAAGGCATTGCATGGTCCAGCTCATTAGCTGAACTCAGGGATTGAGACTCCAATGAGTCAAGCTGGGGACATTCCCAGCCACCTGCAGTCGCATCGACCACACTCGATAGTCACTCCTTCTTGGGGAAGTTAGCAGCAGTATGGCCGCTCTGACGATATCGGGCACATATATGTATTCCTTTCTCACATCTGCCGCTTTTGACAGCCCGGCTGCATCCATTGATGTTGTGATCGAAGCATATGGGTTCGCCAGCATTTGTCGAACTATAGCAGCACGCCCTTCCCCTTGGCCCGTCCTTTACCCGCTTTGCCTCGGCCTTTTCCCTCTCGAGTGTATGGGCTCGGCCTCTCGCGAGAGACCCACGGACCCGGAGGCACATCAGAAGAGGAGGAGGCATTTCCAGGCAGGGATTGCAACAGGACTGCCACATCACTCAGATCCATCACCAAAGGAATCAGGCCATCCAAGGGGCGGCCGGCTGATGTGGCCTGGATTCCTGCGCGACAGCGGTCCTGCAACTCCGAGAAAAGCTTCTGATCGGCCCGCAAGAGCTGCTTGAAGCTGGGCCGGACATGACCTGCTGGCACCTCCTGCATCCGCGCCCTAAGCAACTTCTGATGCCAGACATCGATGACAGCATAATCAACAACATTGGCTTGGTCCAGGGCAAGGGCTCTGCGCTGTAAAGCCTGAAGAAGATGCACCTCGGAGTCGACCTGACACTTGTCATCTGGGGCCTTCGACTCAAGCTTCAAGGTCTTGCCCTGAGCATCGAGCGTGAATCGAGTGTCCTTTTTTGGCATCGCCTTGAACCTCGGCAAGCCGACTAGTGCACTTCTCCCAGGCCACGTAGCGCAAAGTGTTCGACTCATAAATATTCACGCAGAGATCAACCAAGGCCTGACTTGGTTCAGTCTCGTCTTTTATGTTGATCCCGGTTAACTTCTTCACCTGTCGCGTGTAGCGCTCCTCACGCTCAGGCGCGCTGAGAGACCGACTGGGAGCGTCTTCAGTGCGCTCAATGGCCTGTCTAAACTCGGTGGTGACTATGGCGTAAGCCTGCTGGAAAAGAGCTCTGAAGCACGCCTGAGCAGCTAAGTCAGCACTGGTGTCCCTTTTGACTAGAGCATCCAAAGCCGCAATCAAAGGCTTCTCATCGGCTTGTCCCGGAGTGAAGGAGCTGACAAATGCCAGCTGTTTCAGATTCTTCAGTCCAGCCAACACATTAGTCTGGTCAGCAGCCGACAGGCCCGAGGTCCTGACCTTGTCGCTGAAGACAGCTTCGGACTCTGAGTACGAGGCCGCCATGGCACGACCCAAGCACTCAGCTACAGGTCCTAAGAAGAGCATGGATCGTCTCAGGTGCACGGTTGCAAATCGCACAGCATCAAGACAGAAGCTCCTCACATACCATGCAAGCCGGAAGCATTCACCGGTAGCACAACCGCTCAAGTTGCAATGACCTCTCGCCGATCTCGCGTGAAACTCAAGGCCCGTCCTGGTCAGGACAGCATTGCCTGCAAAGGGGAAATAAAACATTAGGCACAGCCGTCTGGATGTAGCTAGTTGACGGCTTGCGACCGCAGACAAAGCGATCACCTTCATCACTGCTGGCCATCAAATGAATGACCCTCGTAGTACACTAGCTAGCGTATCCTCCCGCCACCTCCCTCTACACCTCCAGGGAGTACGTAGCAAGCCTAGCTTTGGCTAACTGGCTTCACGCAGTAGCACGGACAACACGAACTTTTCTTTTTAGCGTTGTGGCGAAGTCCCGCGTTAGCCCGGAGAAGAACTCTAGCCTTCGGCTAGCTAATCTCCAGGGTGGGATGGGTGGGCACTCGAAAATTGCCCCCCAGTAGCTGGGGGCCTTTCAGCACAATGGCCACGGAGTAGCGCATGCTTCACCGGCCATGTGCAGTCACTCTAGCAAACAGACAAGCTCCGTTCTGTTTAGCTTCAGAGGAAAACCCCTTCGACGTTTTCTAGCGAAACACCTTCGATGTTTCCAACAGGGATACTAGCGCTAGCATACACTGTCGTACCTCGTGCCTCTGCACGAGTGCGTACACTAGCTAGCGTATCCTCCCGCCACCTCCCTCTACACCTCCAGGGAGTACGTAGCAAGCCTAGCTTTGGCTAACTGGCTTCACGCAGTAGCACGGACAACACGAACTTCTCTTTTTAGCGTTGTGGCGAAGTCCCGCGTTAGCCCGGAGAAGAACTCTAGCCTTCGGCTAGCTAATCTCCTCGCGCAGCCGTAGGGCTACCAGGGACCTAGCTTACGGGCCTTCTTAGCGAACCTCGGAGCCTTCGGCTCTCCGGTCCTCTTCCTCACTCCTAGCTCTTGGAAGAAGCTAGCCGAGTGTTCGAGGAGGCGGCCCAGCACGCGCCACTCTAGCTTCTCCCCCTCCAGGGTCACCCTGAAGTCCGGGGAGAAACTAGCGAAGTTCTCGTTCGTGAGATCGTCTGCTAGCTGGTTAAGATCCCTGCGGATCCACTGTAGCTGAAGCTCACAGTTCTTAGCGGAGAGTTCCTCTGCTAGCTCCATCAACACCAGGGTCGACGGGAACTTCGTCGTCATAGCTTTCTTCAGTAGCGCCTCGTTGGACTGGTTGTCAGTGTAGCCACGGATGGCCACCTTGGAGGTCTTCTTAGCGTCCCCTTCTGGGACCCAGAGCCTCACGCCGACCAAAGTAGCCAGTAGCTCCAGTGCGGCTATGACCTTGTTCGGGTCCCCTTTAGCGAAGGCCCAGGGGGCCCAGTCCTCCTTCACCTCTAGCGAGAACCAAGGTCCGTGGCAGCCGTCCACTAGCTCAAGGAAGCCCCCGATCCAGGCACGTCCGTTCTCGGCCTTAGCGTCGGTGTAGAAAGAGAGTGGCGCTGCCTCGTCCAAGAGCGAAGCCGGCTTCTGGAGACGACCTCCAGATTCCAAGCGGTCCGCTAGCCAACCACAGAGGACGCGGATCATCGTGGGTAGCGTGAGAAGTCCCGGCTTCCCTTGGATAGCTGAGGACCAGGCGTGTAGCGGACCCAGAAAGGGGCGCTCCCAGTCTAGCGCCATGGACGCGAAGCCCAGGCAGCCTAGCCCTTGTGCGAAGGGTCGGGCCTCGCACTTCCCTTCACGCACTCGCTTCCGGAGCCATTCCACTAGTCAGTCGGTCCTCTTCTGGGACAGGCCTAGCCTCCACGTGGAGTACTCCGTTTCCATGCCTAGCCACTCCACCCGGAACCCCCCCCTCGTCTTGGCCCACTTGAAGGGGTACCCAAGACTAGCGAGGAAGAGATAGCTTAGCGGGATCCCCATGCGTCCTCTAGCCCCTCGGCCCAAGGACTCGAGGTCGTCGGCATAGAGTAGCATGTCTAGCGGGAACGATGGCCCTAGCAGGTGGTAGGCGAAGCCCACACGCCGCTATACGGGTCCACCAGTAGCTAGCACATGATAGCCCGAAGGTCCCCACCAGATTCACGTAGACCGTCTGGCTGTCGGGGTCCCCCGGTATAGCTTCCTCGGTGTCGATCTGACGTCCCAGGTAGCCATGCTCTCCCTCGGCATGCTTGTAGCGCCGGTGGGCTTTAGCGATGTCGCCCACCGCGGAGAAGGCCACCTCGAGAGCGTCAATGTGTTCCCGGAGTAGCTGCTTCTTTTCCCGAGCCCCTGGGGCCCGGATCTTGTCCCGGCACTTGATGCGGTGGTTGACCCGGACCCCGTGGGTAGCGTCGTGGATCATCCTCTTCTTTCCACTAGCTTCGTCCTCGACGATGACGGCTCGGTGCTCGCCATAGCGGGCTTTGAACTCGCCTAGCGTCATCTTGGCCATGAGACCCTCCGCCCTCCGCCACGTCCTCTTCGAACTTTTCCCTAGCGAACTCACGGTATTCCTCCACCGAGGAGTAGTTCGGCACCCACCTCCATCATCTTCTCCCGCAGCCAGTCCCAATTGGGGCCCTCGGCGTAGCTGCGGGTAGCGTGGGGCCACCGTCCTGGAGAGCAGAGGCCTCCTCCATCATGGTAGCTCTTGTTGCCACCTAGCTGTTGGCAGGTCCTTGGTGGTCCTGAGCCCCCTAGCACCCGCGAACCCTCCGGCGCATTCTAGCGGGCCACTTTTCGGAAGCTGAGGTCTTGAAGGGGCCCTTAGCGGTGCGCTTGAACATGTGTCCCAAAGTAGCAGCAGAAGGCAGCGGTCCTGTGTAGCGGCCCTTTTTGTCATAGCACGGCAGGCCTTCGCACACAAAGTCGGGCATAGCAGAAGAGCATTTCAGTAGCAGCCGAGTGGGCTTAGCGTATGGCGTACCAAAGCTAGCTTGGTGGAAGGCCACCGTCCGGAGCCCCTTTTGCAGAAGGTCGGCTAGCGGCGGCCACTGCCACATCGAGGCCGGCCGTGTCCCTTGGTGCGGGCCCTTAGCGAGGGCCCCAAGGTCCTCGGGTTGCTCCATCGCCAGAAAAGTAGCCCACGAGATTAGCGACCTCGAAGCTGAAGTCTGCGAAAATGTTGCCCAAGATAGCACGATCCCTCTCCGCAGGTGTTAGCGTCTCCAGACCTCGGGGAAACTTGTAGCTTCGCACAGGGCGGGGCCCTTGAAAATTAGCCCAGGGCGCTCTGGAGAAGCTAGCGCACGGCGGGGAGAGCATCGCCGCGTCGAACTCCTTGTTAGCTATCCGGTCGAGGTAGCTTTGCCGAATCTTGGGCTGGCTCAGGTCGTATTTAGCGTGCCGCAGAAGGTCGACACACTCGACCCGCACGTCTCTCCCAAGCTCTGCTGCTAGCTGGTGCAAACATTGCGCCACATCTAGCCGGCGCGAGGTACCAGAGAAAAGGTAGAGCACCCGTAGCGGCTTTGCAGGCGTAGGCTGGGTAGGCGTAGCGGCCAGTGGTGCTGGCGTAGCATCCCCCTCCGGGGGGGTCACAGGCACTGAGGGCGCAGCCGCAGTAGCGGGTCAGTTGGAGGGCTTGTCCTCCTTAGCGGCCTCCGTCTTCTTGGTGGGGCACTGCGTAGCGGGGTGCT